TGTCTTCCATGTTGTACCTAAAAACAAAACAAAAAATCCTACACTATACAGTCAAATTTGTACTGAATTGTAAATGTTCTGTGTGAAAAGAAGTAGACTAAAATTGAGTAAGTCTGTACAAATCGTCTAATTTTAGCTTGAAACCATAAACCTGTCTTGTCTTCCTCACAACCCTAATTTTACCCTAAGAACTATAATATAAGCAAACTTTTGCTTAAAAGGTCCTATAGCAACTATTTTAGGCTTACAAACTATATAGTCTCAACTCTGTCACTGAAGCTAAAACTAGTCATCATAAATAAGATTGTGCTTCAATGCAAATTTACTTACAAAAACGAATAATGGTATCAGTTTAGCCTGTGATGCATATATCTCTGTCATGCTAGATGACTCTATTTTCGCTTTTATTATTCTTATCTTTCAAAACATAACTAGATAGGATGTCTGTTGAGAAACATTTTATAGAGATAAAATAGAAAATGTTTCAAAATGTCAAAGGCTTTATTTTAGGATAAATTTTCACTTTGTTTTGGGAAGATTTAAGAAAAAACCATGATCACAAGTATCAATTTTACTAACATTTAATTAAACTAAAAAATGAAATTCAATTCTAAAAATTGCTGTAACGAATAGATGGCATGGGGAGCTCTCTATATAACATTATAACAAATGCCAGTATGTGCATTTTCCCACAAAATACAAGGCCCAGGCACCTGATGCAAATGGCAATCACATGAGTCAGTAACTAAAATAAATGTCTGGGAGTTATGTTAGACAACTGAAGTTGTCTAAAATAAATTGTTAATAACAATGGAGACTGGTTAAGGAAATGAGTATCAAGAATAGATGTTGATGTACCTAGCCAATGAGGTAAAATTAGGGTAAGATAACAAAGAATGATGTTAATTTGAAAGGCAATCCATGATATCTGAGAATGGAAACAAATCAAGTGGCTAAAATTTCTCTGAGAACTGAAAAGCAAAGAGCATGGTTAGTAACAGATGGAAATGAGGAGATATGATGGGAAGCTAACTCCAAAAAGAAAAATCAGAATTTCTATAATAAAATCTATGAGAGATCTGAGATAACTCATATTACTACCTAAGTTTGCTCTTAATTTTACAATTACCAAGATTTTTGCAAGAAAATTAATCTCTCACTTGGTGGTAATTGCCAGATGCCTGTCTGTGAAACACAAGAAGTAAAAGCCTCCCACCCACCAGTTTAACAGCTTGACTTAAGAAAATACGAGACAGCTCTTGATGAGAGAAGATAAACAAAAACAAACCTAATGGACATTAGTCAAATTAGAAAAAAGTATGGTCAATTAATTATGTGCAAACTTCCTTATAACTTGAAAGCTAAGAACTATGGAAAAACAAAGAAAACAAGAAAGAACACCTTTGGACTGAATAATTTAAAATTTATTCAGTGAAAAGGTTCTAAAATAGTACTGCTTTTAAATAATAAGAAATTTTAGATGAAAATTTGATCTTTAGACCTCTAAATGAAGTTTATATTCTTTTTGTGGAATGCAAGATCTGTTAATCTGAAAAATGTTCCTTTTGAAGTTCTGGTATTAAAAATTAGAGACAATATTGTGTGAAACATCAGATTACACAATTTTTGGATCAGCTGTAGATACAGCGTATTTAAGCTATGTCTTTATGTCTTTGGCCATTGGTACATGCTACATTGACAACATGATTTTGATATATTAAAGATTAATGCTTATTCTAGAGTGTTTTTATGATAAGCATTACGGGAAGTAGTTATTACTAAAGCCTTTTCAATGAAAGAGTAGACATTAGATATATCATTTTATTAAAAATTAGGGTACAAAGTCTTGATACCTATTTTTAATATTGTTTTTAACATTTCAGGCCTTAGTTTCTTTATCAGAAAAAGACTGTTTAGTTTCCTTGTTTTCCTATTAGATTTATTAAATAAAAAATTTTGTATATTCCATGAACAGTTCTCACAGTTCTCAGTAGGTCTTATGTTCAGATGTCCTTTGTCTTTGGTAGAGTCTAATGTGTACTATTCAACCAAAAGTCATGGTTTACTAATAAGGACAAACCCAAACAAGAGTCTGTATGTCATAATAACAACGCCTCATTAACCCTGAGGGTTATATTTCCAAAAAGCATTGTACTTGGTGAAACTAGAGTTAATTAGATCAAGAGCTCCTTAAGTACTGGGGCTAGCAGGGGAAGGAAAGGAATCAATATCCATGTCATTAGAGATATTTTAAACTGATATATTAGAAATTCCAGAGGCATTTGATATGTCTAAAAGAACATTTCTTTAGTAGAAGAGTTTTTTCTTCATTATCTTCTTCATTTTCAAGCAATATTAATGCAGGGTCTTGATCTATGATAATTTTTTACCATAATTAAGGATTTAATTGGAGAAAAATACATGTCTATAAAATTGAAGGTGAATCAGAAAAAGTATGACCCTTACAAATGTCTGTTTTTTAGAATTTCAGTCTCTAATAAAAACTCTTAGAAAACAATTTAACATATGATCTCCTAAAAGAGCTGATTCTCCCAGTACATATATTATACTTACTGAGTGAGAATAATGAAAGGAAACATAATTAAAATGTCACAAGGCATTCCCTTTACTTACCTTAATTTGTGAATTAAATGTTTTAAGGCTATATGATGCACATAGCCTCTTACTGATCTATGAAAAAGTTACTTGAGAAAATTATTTAGATAACAAAGTTTCTTGTTTTTTTTTTTATATTACTATTATGCCAGAGACTTAAAATTGGACTAAAACTAAGGAGTTCTAACTTCTGTTTTTGTCATGCCATTGACTTAACAGAAAGAAAAAAAATACATTTCAATAAAGCAATCTACAGATGATTCCTTTTCATTACATAAAGTGAGAGTTTAAATTCCAACTCTCACAATGTATGAGGAATTTAAGAGGTGTAGAAACAATCTCTTATTTCCCTCTGACAAAATCAAGTACAGAAAGGTTCTCAGGATAATTTGAACAAAACAAATTGTATGGGACTCAGTCACTATGAAGAACAGCTGTTTACTATGAAGTCCTTTTAATTACTTGCAACTCAATGTGGTCTTGAATTGACATCAATTATACTAAAAGTGCAAAAATCTAGGCACTAGTCCAGACATAATCTACACTTTTGAAGTATTTTGAGTGTTTCATGTACACATAAAGGTCTGATAAGCATTGTTTTTACTTCAAATTTGGAGAAGCATGAGGGAAAAGGAATTAAATGCAAAGATAGTATTCATATTTGTAGATTTTATATAAGTAGACATGTCACAATATAGTATATACTACAATAAAATATACAATTTGTCAGACACTTTGTGAAGACTTTTATATCCAGTCATGTTTAAATTGTACAAACCTATGTGATGAGAGCTGTGCTTGACATTTACAGTGAAAAAACATCTATTGAAGTTAAGTAGGTAGCGCAAGATAACACAACAGTTACACATGAGAAGTAATCTGATTCAAGAACTTGTGTACTTAACAATTATATTTTATGACAGCATCTGGTTATCTGTAGATTCCAACTTATATAAAAACAGGTTGCCAAATTTTAAATAGAGAAAATATAAGATATACAAAAGCTGCAATGGAGAAATCTGCTCCAGATTAAAATAAAATCATATCATGCATTAAATGTTAACTAGCCTCAGCTTTCATAATCCTCAAATCTGCCATTTTGTAGTTCTTAAGATGGCAAAACACATGATCAGAAATTTTCAGTGGGTACAAGTATAAGCTAACTACTCTTAAGCTAAATAAATTGAACTGATACTTAACATCTACTCAAAGAGTAAGTTATAACAATAGAATCTAAAACTAGAGAGTTCTGATATGTATTAGAAGTCTTATGCATGACCTTATTGTAATAATATGTGTTTGCTTATTTCTGGAAACAATGTCACACCATGAGATACAGATACCTATTTTTAACTTTTTTCTTTGGTTACAGTTAATTTTTGATAAATTAAAGAAGAGTTGTTCTATTCACAGTGGTGATTGTTAGGAACTAAAGTCTGGCAAAAACTGAAGAAAATACTTAAGTGATTTTTGTTATAATACATTCAAGTCCATAACTAATATGATTAAAATAGCTAACATTTTCCCAATGCCAGTCAACATGTAAGGCACAGGTGTTTTAAGACAGTTTTTTAAAAAAATATAATTTAATCTTAGCCATGAAACAGGGATTAGCTTCATTCATATGAGGAAATGCAGAACTGGTTAAGCACTGGATTTAGAATTTAAGCCGAGGTAGACTGTTTTAGTAGTCACAATTCATGCTACACAATTTCATGCAAAGCTTCTTTTATTTACTAGTATATTTAAATTATTCAGGTTTCCTCCCTCTTCAATGGAGAATATATATATATATATACTCTTTTTTAAATTATTTTTTAGAGATTTAATGATCCGTTTTAGTCACAGTGACTTAATGGTTTTATAAATGAGACAAACGTCTCAAGTTTATGAGGTCAATGGATATGAATTGTGCCTTTGGTGCTTAGTTTTTCATTCAATGAAAGATACGCTATACCGTAATTAGTTTCCTTGCACCATCTAGTGGATTTAAATAACAACTGCGGCGGTACCAAAAACGATTATAACGCAATTATATGATAAGTCAAATTTCCTAATGTATTAGAACGGAGAACTGTTCTCACACTGCATTTTGGATCATACCACAAATATGCACGTAATTAACTTTTCCCGTCCACGAGGAAGTAGGCTAAGCCAGGTGTTCAACTCATCATCGAATCTTTAAATTTACAAACAAACAAACCCATAAAATAGCATCCTTGAGCTCTTTCAGTCGGAGTTAATAAAAGTCAGATTCTTGGTGTAATTCCCGCACCTGCTGCCCCAAACGTCCAGGCTGCGCCGCGAGTCTGCGCGACCAGTGCGCATGCGTACTGGGGAGCGGAAGCGGGGAGGCGGGGCGACGTCCGGACCTGCGAGCGGAAGAGGCCCCGGCTGCTGGGTGAGGCGCGGAGACAGTTCGGCGGTGAGTCCGGGGTCTGCCCGAGCGCCAAGCCCAGATCCCGGAGACACCAAAGGAAACGAACGACTTGCGGTTCCGGAGCCGTCGCCGCTGGCAGCCGTCGCCGCCGCCTCTGCCGCCGCGGACGCCCCCGCCCCCGCCGCCTGAGGACGCGGCCCTGAGAGGCCTCTAGGCCTACGCGCGGCCCGCCGAGCCCGACGTGTTGCCGCCGGTTCTGCTGTGAGTAATACGAGCGTCCTCTCCACAGTCATTTACAAATTAAAATGGAGGAAATTTCGTTGGCCAACCTGGATACTAACAAGCTGGAGGCCATCGCTCAGGAGATATACGTAGATCTGATAGAGGATTCTTGTTTGGGCTTCTGCTTTGAGGTGCACCGGGCAGTCAAGTGTGGCTACTTCTACCTGGAGTTTGCGGAGACTGGTAACGTGAAGGATTTTGGCCTTCAGCCAGTGGAAGATAAAGGAGCTTGCCGCCTCCCGCTTTGCTCCCTTCCTGGAGAGTCTGGGAATGGGCCTGATCAGCAGCTGCAACGCTCCCCTCCGGAATTCCAGTAGCTGCCATCTGAGAGTCTTGAAAGCGACCAGGACAATAACATAGACCGGTCCTGTGGTTTGGAGACGTTAGGTAGTGAAGTAGAAGGAAAAAAATAAATTTCAGACAAAAGTCCCAATTCCCATTGAAGATCCTAGCCTTAGAAAACCCAAAGTGGAGAATTTAGGAATTCGGATTATTTTCTAGGTGTATTACCTGGGGGTCAACTCTGAAACCCAGGGCAGGAGAGGAGCTCTACATCCTGTACCCACCATGCAGTGCGGGTTGATCTTTAAACACCAGGATGTGTACAAGATCCCTGTACTGACCCCAGTGCACAGGAGAGTAGCTATGTGCTCAGCATATAAAATTCTTTGGTCCCTCAGCCTTTCTGTCTGCCTGATGTCAAGGGCTTCCTGGATAACGGACAGTTTGGACATAACTGGTCAGGTCTTAATCATTGGGCCTCAGTGGGACTGCCTTTGATTTCCCCGTCGCTAATGTGGTCTTCTTCAAGACAAATGAAGACAAGGTATGAGACCTGGATATTAACAGTTCCAACTTAGGAAAACCAAGAAAGAATTCCTACCTGAATCTGGTAGGGGAAGCTGTGTGGTCTTGGCTCCAACGAGAAGAAAAGGACAAAGCCACCAGTTTCACAAAGGTCCAGCATATAGCAATGACTTCAGCAGACTCGGGGACAAGGGCTAGCCTTTTGCTGAACAGAGCCCTCTTTTGTGCATCCCACTCATTGGCATAGACTTGACAGTTGGACGACTTGGTTATCCTAACAGGTTGATTTAGTTATCCCTTGGGGAGGTAGCAAGGGCCTCTGCAACTATGCACCATCCCTTACCATCCCTAAATGCAAGATTCTTATCTGGATATATTGTTCTGCACAACAGTTGGGTGGGGCAGTCGTTTGCCTACGCGCTGAGTTACAAGTTGTCTAGCATGGTCAGAATGCAGGTGACTGCCTCCCACCCCAGGGCAGGAATAACTGTAGCCGAGCATCATGGCTGTTGCAGTAGGCTGTGGTTTGAAAGCTGAGCCTAGAGGGAATCTGTCCCAGCTGCCCTCAATAATGTGAATGGGTTAGTTCTAGGAGCCAAGGAAGAGGAAAGACTGGCTCTGCTCTCATCTGACTGTGCAGTATCCTGTTGAATGCCTCTGTTCTTTGGGTTGGACTGTCACAGAACTCTGCTGTGGTGAACGTCCAAACAGTCACCTTTCTCTGCCTCTCACAAGGGGCAGCCCTTTCTACTTGGCCCCTTTTAAATCTTTGTAACAACAAGAGCTGCCCTTTTGTTGTTGGAAGTCAGGGAAGGGCCTCCAGAAATCCCCTGGCTTTCGGAAGTGAGATGGGGGTGGATGGGAAGTGTGAGCCACATACCGAAACTACCCTCTACTATACTCCCTGATTGAGGGCTCTGGAAGTGTAGAAGGGTGGGAGTCCCAAGGTGAGCGGGAATGGTGCTGCTTTATTTGAAATGTTTTCTTACCTCATTCTATGCCCCATAAGGGGTCCGGCCTTATCTGTCTGGCTGGGCCCCATGTTCCTCCTGTCCCAGGCTCCACTTCCTGTCTGGTGCAGCTCATGACCCCAGGTGCTGCCTGATGCCCTTTTTTCAAATTGACCAATTTCAGTTCATCTCTCCTGGTGATGTTCCTGCTTCAGAAGCCTGCTAGTTTCCTTTTTCTTGAATTAAGTTTTCTTCACTTCCTCTTGCTTTTGTGGGCGACTCAGAAAAGAATCTTTCCTATGGCTCCCTCTATTGGGACTAGAATGGTGTGAGAATGTAACTTTTTTTGTATATGGAAGGCAGTGTCAAGCCTAAGCATTTCTCTAGGACCGCCTTGCTAGTATGCCTTCCTTTTGTGTCTTAAATCTTGAGGAGTTTTATCTTCCCACCTCCATTCTGTAAATGCCTCTTAGGACCTGAATAGAAGAGCAGCGAAGGCTGACGTACACACACAAGGATGGAGTTGTCCTGATCCATTTTCTGACCCCTGCTGTGCATGTATCCTTCCTTACCCAGAAGGAGCTATTTGGGCTGTATGGACTGAGTTGGGTTACATACCTGAGAGAGATGTTAAATATAGTGCTAGAACCTCAAGACTGACTTATGCATTCTTCCCTTAGAGAAGTTGTCCTGCTCAGGGTTGGGGCCTCGTCACAGATTGATCTTCAAGGATTGTGATAACATTTTAAAAGACTTAAGCAACAGCTAAAATAATTTTGAGTTATCTATCCTAATATTTGAAAATACCTCCTGTTAAGGGAATACGGAGGGAAAGAAGAATCTCTAAGTGAGATTCTGTCCTACTTGGCAAGTAACATCCAGAAAAAAGGCTGAAGGAAAGGTCATAGTCCACTTTTCTGCAGAGAGGGAGTTGAGATTGTGACATTCTATTTCCTTTCTGGCCCTTTTTTCTTGGTTAGGAAGAAGTAGGAAGCAGTTTTGAGTAATGGTTGATTCACATTACCTCCCTCTTGTTCTGTTTATGTTTATTGACCCCTCTCCTCCCATTATTAGGGAAGTGTCCCATGCCCTGGATGGGTATGAGGAGACTTAGGTCCAGCAGGTGCCCTGAGGGACAAAAACTTCTTTTGGGGGGGAGAGAATGCTCCCTCCCATATAGTGGACTGGTTAGGAATTCTCCCTTTCCCTGCCTATCTTCCCTCTAACCGCAGAATCGCTATCCTTCCCGCCTCAATTAAGTGTATTGATTACCCTGTAATTCTATTACGTATTTGAGAGTGTGTATGCGTGTGAGTGGGTGTGTGTGTATGTATGTATGGGGGGAGGGGTTCTTTACAAATTTCTGTGGTTTGTGGCTTTTTCTTCCGTACATTAGTTCCCACCACCGCATGCCCAGGGGCCATTGCCTGGCATTACCGCATGCTGGGATCATTGGGGGAGTATAGTGAAGCTTACCACTATTTGTTTTGGAGATTCTTATTTTTGCATAAGTAGTCCATCCTATACAGATTGCTAACTAACTGTGTATTCCCCTTGCCCCTATGGCTGCTGGTGTAAATAAACTGCATCTCCCCATTGGTAAACAGTAATAATAAACAAAATTTTAAAAAATGACTTTATTTGGACTCAGTATGTTCATCTTTTAAAATTGTAAAAAATTTTGAGATACCGACATGGTAAAATAAACTTTACACATTAGTCACTTTCTCCTGAGCGGAATTTTCATAAAACTAAGTCCATGAACTCTGCCCAACATTGATTCTCAACTAGTCCTGCAAATCGTAGAAACAGGACCAGAGGAATAACTCAGTAGCTATATATTTCAGGGAAACTTACATGGTATTGAATCCTGTAACATTCAATTGTAGCTGCGGTAAGTGCTTTCAGAACCCATCCAGTATGTTTAGATACAAGTAATATATATATATATGTATAGTTTTCTGAAACGAGATACTTTCAATGCTTTATTAAATCTACTTAATGACAGGAATTAAGATTATTTTCATGTTTTCTAAGGATCAAGTAAAAAAAAAGTATTGCTTATCTTTTAACTACCTATAATTAACTCCCTAGATACTTTAACTACAGCATATAGCATTGGGTTAGAAAACTAATAGGCTTAATGTTAATTAACAAGCATAAATAGAAACTGAAATATATGTGGGTTGTTAGAATTCAGAAAACTTTCTTTGCATACGTTAATTTAGTTATACTTCTGCATACGTTAGTTATACTTCTTCCATGAGGATCTATCTGAGAGGTACATTAAAGTGTTCTTAGTTTTGTTTTTTTTTTTTTAAGTTTTATAAAGTGAGAAGAAATCAATGGAAAAATCACATAAATTACTACAAGTGTTTTTACATTCTTTCATTTTCAATGTTGGTGAATTGCTGGTTTTTTAACTACAAGATAACATTAGACTTTGGAAGTTTTGTTTTACAGTGAGAGTGCATTCATACTTCAAAAAGGTTCCCATAATTTCTGTAGGAGAGCATTTGGTATGAAGTGATGCAGTAGTCAAAAAGTTATTGCAGAAAAGCATGTAAGTCCTTAGGTTGTCGTCCCCCCCCTCCCATATACTACTCATTTCATTGGAGGTATGTGAGCAAAAAGATAAGTGAACTATTCATTTTAGGGAAAACCGAACTTAAAATTAAGAGACAAAAGTAGTGAAGCGATATAAACAAAAATAATGGTGCTAGGCCAGTGTTGAAGTAATAGAATTTTCAGTCTGAATGGGACGGCTTATTTTTTTAAAAGGCTACAGTTGGCCCTCCCTGGTGGCACAGCAGGTTTAAGCATGGCATTAAGAAGCTAAAGCCACTTCTGCATGAGTTCGAATTACACCTGCCCCGGAGGAGATCCACATGGCGTGGCAGACCTCCTGACCTGCCCGCTGCTCCCCTCAATAGTGTACTTTGTCGATCTGCCTGTTCTGCTCCCCACTCTGTCTCTGGTGAAGCCTCTCGCCGCCCCTGAGCCTCTGGCCTGTACCCCAGTTCTGTATGTACAAATAAATCATTTTTTAAAAAAAAAAAAAGCTACAGTTGTAGAATTAAAAAAAATGTTGACACTAAGTGAAAATGTAATGAATTACATTTGAAATTCAGTGAAAAGGTAATGAATTTAGAAACACTGAAGAAATGGAAAATACATTAAAATACAACTCATTGAAAGTGATGAATTTTTTTATTAAATGAGTAGATAATAGAACTTAATAAAGAAAAATTTATCACTGTACATACATATCCCAATACACATATAAGCCCCTAGACACTAAGAATTTGCAAACAACACAAGAAACACAATTGTACAGACTAAAGGTATAGTAAAGATGGGGGTGGGGATGAAGTGTTAACCAACTACTTTAAAATATCAAAAATGCTGATTTTCAACAACTTGGGTTAATTCAAGAAAAATAAGGATTTTACTCAGAAAATCTCATCACCCTTACAGGAAAACCAGTAGATAGTGAAAAGTATTTTTATGAAATCCAATACAAATTAATTTTTTAAAACTATTAACCATAGAGAAAAGGGGGCAAAATTTTTTAATATGTTAATAAAAGATACCTGTCAAAAATTTATAATTTTCATGTTTACTGCTGAATGGTAATTTTAAGGAATGGAAGAAGAAAAT